CACAGTAGGATATCTGTTTATGCTAGGTGGTGCATCAGTCGCTTGGAGTTCGAGAAAGGAACCAGTAGTGTCATTATCATCATGCAAGGCAGAGTACATAGCTACTTCTCTTTGTGCATGTCAAGCAACATGGATGATGAACTTGGTCGAAGAGATCACAGATAAAAATTATGGAGCAATTACCATGAAGATCGACAACATATCAGCTATCAATTTAGCGAAGAACCAGATAACACATGATCGAAACAAACACATCAAAATGAGGTTCTATTATTTTCGAGAGCATGTGGGTGAAAGATCCCAGGGGTGTAGTTAAAAATTCTCTTAAATTTTCACTGATTTTATCAATTTAATCTTTAAAAGATTTAATTTAATTTATAATATTTTTACTGATTTTTTTAAAAGTTTTATTAATTTATAATATTATTATATTATATAAAAAAATTCTCATTTTTTAAATATATTATATTATTATATTATATTATATGATTAAAAATAAATAAATTTAAGAGAATAATAATAATGCACCAACACTTTATGCATTCTATCAAATAAAAATATATAGACATTTTAGACTATATTTAAGAAATAAACTTATAAAATAGTACTATGATGTGATTTCATTAGATGGATGTGTGCAAATAATTTACACCGTTGTATAACAATTAATCTTTAAAGTTAATGAGAATAAATTAAAGAGAAATATTATAATTATAAAATATTTAATTCTCTTTTCTTTTATCAAATTAAACATTAAACAAATTTGTGATGCAATGCAGTTGGTAAAATTAGAATCCTAATTATTTTGAAAATTCTAATTTTGAAAGTTTGTATTCTATTCTAAAATTTCACAAAATTTCATTTTTGTAATTTTAATATTATTTAGTTATTATAAATAGTTAACATAATTATATATAATAATAAAATTGAATTTTAAAATAAGAGCACCAAAACTTAACAAAAATGAAAATAAAAAGATCAAAATTATGATTAAGTTAAAAAATAAACATAAAAAATCAATTCATTAAATCAAGAAATTAATTGGTTCATTGACTTGACCACAGAACCGACATATCATGCTAATTTTCACAAGGTCAATTACTACTACCATAAGATCTTATCAAATCGTTCTATCATATGATTTATGGTCTAATTGATTCGATCCGTCCGAATATTATATATATCAAGTTGCTAGGAGTGATAGTTGATGTAAGTGAAAGTTACCAAATGTGGTTGTCCAACTGCGATTCCTGGTACATTTTCACTTACATCAACTACCACTCATAACAACTTGAGCTCTTCTTTATAATTATATATTTTATCACCAAAATAAGATTGATCAATGAAAGAGATGTTACTAATTTGTGACGCAACTTGCCATCCAGAATCATTAAAGACAGATCCCACAAGAGACTTAAATTTGATTTTATAATTTACTATAATTTGAGTATAGTAAGATGAATAATGCATTAATTTAATTTACTATTATTTGATTTTCCATTTTTGTAATAAAAATTGAGTTTTGGAGTGAAATGAATATGATTTGAAAATATAGTAGACTGTTTCGTAGGTACATATACGAAACACTCTAAAATCACCATGTCATGTCGATGTACCTACAAAAGAATTGTTGAACTGAAATAAATTGAATTTTCTCGACTATGCTATGTTTTTTAACGCGTCCGTAGATGCATCTACGGAAGAAAACAAATTTTTTTGAAAAAAATGGTGCTTTGAAAGATGCACCTATGGTAGGCATAATTGGAATTTCGCCAGGTAGCTAAGTGATTCATGGGGTGCATTGAAAAATCATCTTATTTTATATATTTTTTATTACTATAGAGTTGAACCATTATAAAAATAGGATTTATAATATTAGCAAGTTATTATCTTTTTTATAATTTAATAGTGACATTGTATACAAAAATACAAGATGTACAATATAAAATTTTGAGTGTTATTTAATTTGTTGTTTAAAGTATAATAATAAGCAAATTAATATCAAATAATATTTGAAATGTTATAACGTGATAATAGCGTTTTTTCAATAATAAAAAATCATTCTTCTTTTAGTTATTCTAAAATTTTGATACTATTTAAAAAAAATTAAAAGATGAATATTTATGAATTTTATAAAAGATGAGTCATTTTGATAGATTTATCTCAATAAATATTTAACCGATCAAACTCACCCATTTTATCCATTAAACCGAATTTGTCAAAAACCAAAATTTTATAGATCAAAATTAAACCTTAATAAAAAAACTGCAATTTGCGTTAAATTTAATTTTTTTCCGGATTTCAATCAAAACTAACCGATTATCCACCCATAACTTAGATGGTGTTTTGACCTAGTCGTGAAGCCTACAAACGAATTTTCTAACATAAAGTTCAATTCAAATTTTTCTTACTAAATAAAAGATAGAAATATAATCATTACATAATTATTAATTAGTTTACTCTTTTTTAGTTTAAATATTATTGTTGCCTTTTTTTTATAATTATTGTGAAAATACAATTATATCATTTGCAACATCGCAAATATTAATTTTTAGAGTTAAATTTATTTTAGTTCTTCACAAAAGTTAGAGTGACCGAATAAATTTCTTTAAAAAAATTTATTTTTAATCTTTTATAGATTTTAATCGGGTCAAATTAATCTCTATATTAATATATTTTTTAAACGATTATTTTTTCTTATTTTAAACCATAACTAGACTGTCTCATATGTATTATTTTTGTCATATATATTATTTTTTCTCACAAAATAGAAAAAGAGAGAATAGGGTTGTCTCTTAGGTCTCTCTTCAATCTCACACTTCCATATTTTTGAGTTTTCTAGTTTTTCTCCTTCCACATAACCATATCCATCGGTTTCAACAAGATAAATTTTTGATGTCGACGGTGATAACAAATAATTCAATCGAAAAAAATGACATACGACATATATCAAAGATGGAGACAAAAAAATAAGTTTCTTTATTATTATAATCTTAAATTATAAATCCTAAACCTATAAATCATAATAAAAACTTATCTTTTAAATAGATTTCACACCGGAAATAGATAAATTATACTTGTTTCACTAATTTTAACAATATTTTTATATACTTTTAGTATATAGTTAAGTCAATAATTATATTGTACATTAGCTATAACTAATTTCATGTGGTATAATATGTAAATGACTAAGTTTCTCCCTGTGTGAATTTCATAAAATTAAGCCTTGTACGGATAAGCTAACGTGTCGCCACTGCTATAACTATAGCAGCTAAATAACTAAATTTCATGTGTACAGTTTTAGAACCATATCAATATTTTTCCTTAATTTTATATATATATATATATATATATATATATATATATATATATATATATATATATATATATATATATATATATATATATATATATATATATATATATATATATATATATATTAAAAAAACGTAAAAAAGAATTAATAAAAAAAGTTATATATATATATATATATATATATATATATATATATATATATATATATATATATATATATATATATATATATATATATATATATATATATATATATATATATATATATATATATATATATATATATATATATATATATATATATATATATATATATATATATATATATTATATTTCAACTTGGAAGCCCAATTGAAAATTCTCCGTCTATTATATCATTAAATTTTTCTAAAAATAAAATAAAAATTTAATTGGATATATGAGACTTTTCATTGCCTAATACCTTTAACACCTCTCTCTCTTGTTGCCTAGTACCTTTAACACACACCTCTCTCTCTCTCTCTGCCTAGTACCTTTAACACCCCTCTCTCTCTGCTCACACACTTTCTGTTTACTCTCAAACTCTCTCTCACTCTCGAAACTGGACGCTTCTCTCGCTAATCACCGATTTCTTTTCTTCTAGGTAAAGAATTTTCTTTCTTCTTTTTTTATTTTATTGTTCTGGTTCTTGTTTAATTTGGGGTTTAGGGTTTAGGGCCTTAGTGAACTTAGGGTAGGATCGATCCTGCAATCTATTTTATTCAACGACAATGTAGCACATTTTGTTGTTTTAAGCTCATCTATCATTTTCTTTGATCTGCTGAAAGAACTTGTGTAGTCCTGTTGTAAACTTATGTGCTTTTGTGGTTTTGGGTTAAGAATACTGCTGATAAATGCGCTTAATGGCTGAACACTTTCACTAATTAATTTTTCTTTAGCTCTTTGAGTACTTTTATAAGTGTAAATCCAATAGTTAATCTGTTTGAATATGGCACAATCCAATAGTTAATCTGTTTGAATAAAGCAAAATCTAACTTAATGAGCTTGCTTAATGAGTCATATTATAATAGAAAAGTATATTGCTAGTTTTACAATATTCTGTTGATGTAGCTTAATTTGGATGTTACACATGTTTGGATCAAAAGCAAAAAGAGACACCTGCTGTACAAATCACTTTACTTAATTATTGTTGGTGTATGAAGTTTTTGTGTGACATAAACATGTCTCTCCCATGCGCTGTATTGATTTTGGCATTCATTTTCTGTATTGATTTCAAATTATACCAGCTGTCTTGATTCAAATTATACACGTTTAGTCACCTTTTCCTGATATTTACATATTTACACACTGGATTTTAGGTTTTAATATAAGGGCTGTCATTTTTTTTTAAAATTCCCCACACAATTAACTTAAATAGAGCAATTGGTTCACTAATCTCATGCACAACAACTAGTTTTTTTTAGCATTGACAGAAGTAGATTTAGTGTTGTAGCCGATGTTTTATTTTATTTTTTCATTTTGTAGACTTAAATTTTTGCTTTATTTAACTGATTTGCATTTAATCTAAGTTATTCATATTTTATTTTTTCATTTTGTAGACTTAAATTTTTGCTTTATTTAACTTATTTGCATTTAATCTAAGTTATTCATTTCAGAATAGTGTTCTAGTTTTGTCATTCTTTTGTTTTTTTTTTTTTGCAGGAACAATGACTTCAAGTTCTCTAGATGTGATTGACAAAAAATTGTGGATGAAATGTGCAGGTCACCTGCCATTCGATCCCTCTACCAGATCATATGTTTACTTCTTCCCTCAAGGATATGCGCATACTGTCGGTAAATCCTTGAACTCTGAATTAATAAATCGCTTAAAACAGATCGCTGGTCAGGGCGTCTATCTTTGTCAGATTTTGTCAATCAGCTTCAGGAACAGATAATTGCAAAGGAATTCAATAAGCTAATTAACATAATAAGGCAAATTCCCTCCGACTTCAATCGCCGACTGAGATCAGTTCATTGCAAACGCTGACTGTGCTCAACACAAATTCGAAGAATAATTTCAAAACTTTTACGCTTACGATCAAACTCGATTCGCTTAGGATAAAAAAATATGCAGAAATAAAAACAATTAAAAAGCAAAGTGCAAGTGTAAAAACCAAAAAAAAATAAGGACAGTATCTTGCGGATTTGCTTTCCTAATTCTCATGCCTCTAGCATGCTTGCTTTTGGACTCAGTTAAAACATATGGATGTACAAGTAACTCAGTCCAGTGTGGAAAATACATAACTTTGAATTCGTCCCCAATCAGTCCAACCTGACCGAAGACCAAAATCATTTTTACCCTTGCCCTTCTGAATGAAATGGGTAACTCTCCAATTTTTATTATGGAAATCGGTTATGGCTATGTCCTTAGAGGACTCTGGTGGAATGAATGCATCTCCGGTTGAGGTTGTGTCCTTAGAGGACTCTGGTGGATTGACTGCGTTTATAATTAGGGTAGTGTCCTTAGATGACTTTGGTGGAATGGAGTTTTTAGTTGGGGTTGAGTTTTTCTTAGAGTACTCTACATATTCAGGATACGAAGGAAATACTCTTCCGTTTTCAATTGATGAGTAAATATAATCCTCTCTTTACGTTAGTGTCAGTGAGAGTTTTCATTAAAAAAAACCTCTCTATTTTCCCTTTCAAAAGCTCCAAATTGATCAAGAATCACGGCGTTGTCTTTGACGGTTATCAACTTTATCTTCGCACAAACTTCCTCGTATTCATCATCAGCAAGAAAGCTGATTGAAAAAATCTGACAAAGATAGGCGCCCTGACCAACGATCTGTTTTGAGCAATCTATTAATTCAGAGTTCAAGGATTTACCGACACTATGCGCATATCCTTGAGGGAAGAAGTAAACATATGATCCGGTAGAGGGATCGAATGGCAGGTGAATCCCTCAAGGATATGCGCATAATGTCGTAAATCCTTGAACTATAAATTAATATATCGCTTAAAACAGATCGCTGGTCAGGGCGCCTATCTTTGTCAGATTTTGTCAATCAGCTTTCTTGCTGATAATGAATACGCAAAGATAAAGTTGATAACCGTCAAAGACAAAACCCTGATTCTTGATCAATTTGGAGCTTTTGAAAGGGGGAAATAGAGAGAGGATTATATTTACCCTTATCGAGCTAAATGGAGTGATAATGGAGGAGTATTTCCTTCGTATCCTGAATATGTAGAGTACTCTAAGAAGAACTCAACCCCAACTAAAAACTCCATTCCACCAAAGTCATCTAAGGACACTACCCTAATTGAAGCCGGAGGGAATTATGTTGCATTAATTAGCTTATTGAATTACTTTGCAAATATCTGTTCCTGAAGCTTAAGCGGACTGAATGCATGTCTGTTGTAGGTTCGTTGGGACGGTGAAGTAAATGAAACATTGGTTAACCACTGGCAGATCCAGCCAGAGACGGATCCCATTCCGGACAGAAAACTGCCGCAAATCCAAGCCTCGCAGATCCAACACTGAAGCTTCAACATCGGATATCCAAGGTACTAAAGCTATTGGAATCCAACATTAAAGTTTCAACATCGTATATCCAAGCTACTGAAACTATACTGGAATCCAACATTAAAGCTTCAAAATCGGATATCATAGGTACTGACTACAGCGCTGAAGCTCTGGATGATAGATATCATAGGTACTGACTACAGTGCTGAAGCTCTAGAAGATGGTATTTCTGTATATAGACAGAGGTTCCAACCCCAGATTTAAATATTAGTACATGACCGAGTTACTTAAAAATATAATGTTTTTGTAAATGATATTGTTTTTGAATTTAGGGAATTTAGGGATCTAAGAATCATAAAATGTTACGAACCTCTTGTTACACCCGATTCCGGAAGTCCAGTGTATAAACTATGGTAGTTCCCTGAAAGTCTTGTTAACACGGTAGTTCCCTGAAATCTAACCGTTTCTGTCACATTGGTTGTTCCCTGAAAGTCTAGGAAAGAATAGTCTATAAACTTTGATCTCTCGAAATTAGTCATCTGCTTGAAACCAAAAGAATTGGTGCATGTTTCTAGTACACCAGGAACAGCTGGTAAGACTAGTCTCTCCACTCAGAAGCTTTAGCTTCTGATGCAAGAAAAGTATTCAAGTGATAAATTTAATCATAAACTTGGAAATATAGCCAGAACTTATAGCACATTATCGTAAATGACACATTTTCTTCAAATTTTATGTTACCTTTTCAAGCTCATCCATTAAAACACGACACATTCCAAGTCGTCTATACTGAAATCTGGTACCGACTAGAAGAACTTCAGCTATCTTGTCTCCAAATACCCTAAAAAATGATATGATGAGTTAATGAAATGCAATTGCAAAATCATGCAAAACCTACTACTTGATTTGATTCTTAATAGTAGCAGATCCTATACTAACCTTATAGTTGCCACACTGATTTGTTCTTCATTCCTCTCTAGAAGTACGGTATAGAAACCCTGGAAGTTTAGCCGGTTGAGCTCTGACCTGAAAGGTTCCTAAGTACATATATAAGGCACTGGTTTGGTGCGAATATAACAAATATTGTAGCACAACTTAGAGATAAAAATATCATGATCATGAACAATATATACCTGTGAACAAATCCATTAGGGAATGAAAAAACTTAAAGGTATACATGATCCACACATTTAAATGAAACAAATACTGACATAATTGAAATCTCAAACCATATAGTGAGTGATGCTTTTGCATGCCATCTTGTTTGATTAAAAGAGTTACAACTTACAAGATATATGCTCAATCCATTAGAATCATTTTTCTGAATGAAATAACCAAAATGTAATGATATATTTCACGAGAGCCAAAATACTTTGTATAATCTTCAAAAACATTGGCTCAGTATTTTATTTTCCATCCATATAGGCATAGATTTTTTGCAATAAGCTGGAAGAGAAGAAATTTGTAGTGAAAAAGAAGGAAACTTTTTTATCAGTATCTTTCAATAAATGTCTATGGACGCGTCAACTCAATCATGCATGATAAACATAAAACTACAAACTTCGAACTAACTACATATACGATAAATAAAAGAAGTTAAAAATTCTAACATATCTATGAATTTCATAAAAAATATCCATTTACCACAGTGATAGATATGTTAGAATCTATGCAGATTTGTCTCAGGTTCAACACAGGATGCCTTATGTATGGTTTGTGAGTATGAGACAAACACAAAATGCAAGGAATAAGTTTCCTCTCTCAGTCAGGTTTCCTCTTCCTTCTAAATCCTGAATTCAAGATCAATAATTTTTGGAGCTCTTTGCTCTTATCCTCTTCCTTCGTAACAAAATAGAGATCTGATATCTCTCTCTCAGTCACGTTTCCTCTTCCTTCTAAATCACCTTAGTTTTTCATAAAAACAGAGCAATAAGTCCAAATCAAACAAAGATCAAAGTTTATGCATCAATGGAGATTCAAAAAGAAAGCTCAATACCCGTGGCGATACTGTCGTTGAAGATGCGATGAGCGTGGTTGTCATCGGGATCTCAAGGACGAGGGTGTGGTTCAGCGGATCTGAGAAAGTGGCTCGACGGTTGCTTTCAGACGTTGAGTAGAGCGTTGGCTGGTTGTTCATGGTGTCGTGCGGCGAGATCGGCCGGTGTTGCAATCGCGATGTGAGGAAGGCCGAAGCTGGTTGAACGGCAAGGCGGTCTGTACGCGTGAAGTCTGTGGAGATAGGGTGCGGCTGGAGCTTCAGTTGTCCGCGTCGTAGCTTCGAGGTGTTGTCGTCGAAGGTGATGAAGTCGCCGGCGAGAGTGGATCATAGAGAGATGGCCGATGACTTTGTTTTGTTCTTTTCATATTTCTGCAAAAAAAAGAAAATAAACCTCTGTATCAATTTGTTAGCATCAAGTATTATGTTGTGTTGTACCCTTTAATGAAATTTAGTTAATGGTTTTGACAGGAGGAGCTTGTGAAAGTTAGATTACAGTATATGTTTATCTGGATTAGAATGGAAATGTTTGTTTTGGTTGAATTTAGAATGGTGATGATAATGGTTTGTGTTGGTATGGTTCTACCGTATAAAATAAGCTAGTGGTAGAAAAAGTGGGTTTTGAAATTGTTAGAAAAAATTAGTAAGAATATTAGTTAAAAAGAGATAGAAAATCAATAAAATTAAGTAATATAAATAGCGAGGTAAAAAAATGGTTTAATGATGAAATTCCATTTTTAAGGGGAAGGTTAGTTTTCGATGATAAACTATTTAGTTTGACCAAAAAATAATAGACAAAATTAAGGGAATGTCGTGTGAGTGTTAGTGAAAGTTTCGAAGGAAAAAGTTAAAGAAACTGTCATTGTTGTTTGATATAGACAACGTGAAAAACAGATAAAAAAATCATCCAAATTGGAAATAAAACAAAGCAGCACAAGAGATTCGAACCCACAACATTATATTTATAAGTTTCATCATTTACCAATTGTGCTATGTTACTCATTTGTAAATAACTCAATTGAAAGTATATGAAATGTATGGGAATATTTATTTATTCAAAAATACAAATGATCTGAAATAAATCATTATATTTTTAAACAAGTTTGGAAGTGAATATTCTATAAAAATAAAATAAAATTTTAAAATCAATAATTAAAATAATTTTTACTGTTGAAATAAAGGGTGGACAAATTTGGAGTATGACAGTATGCTGTAACTCTGTCTCTCACTTGATGATTTTCAGCACTGCCAACACCACAACTCTCAGAGTTTACATATTTCACCAATGTCCAAGGTATTCTCGCCCACTAAAACTGGCTTTCCCAATATATTTTGGAGCCCTATATAGACCTGCAAAAGTTCATACGCGTAAATTTAGTGAATAAACATTTTCATAAAACTTAAACCTATTATGCTTGTGATGTCTTATCACTTATCGATCACCAAAATCATGTATTGTCCACTAGATTATTAGCTATTAAACAAAAGCCATTGATAAATGCAACCATGATTAGAATAAAGAGTTCATTGTCGAACTAGAAACTATTAAGTCTACTAAGTTGGATGTGGAACATATTATTTTGATCCGATAAAGAAAAAAAGATAGTAAAGTAATGCTTACAAGGAATGTAAAGGGAGATGAAACTCTTTCTAAAGTAAAAGAAAAAAGGGAGGTGGATTTAACTTACCCTTTCACATTCTTCTCCATAGAACCAATTTTTCATATTTCATCTCGAGTTATCTATTGCTCTATTTCTGAGGCACTCAACATGATCTACATAGAGTTGAAGAACCGATGGCCAACATATATAGTTATGCATACACAAATAAATTTTTTTCACAAAGGTATGAATGAAAAATATTGAAGCAAATCTATATATATAGCTTACATTTATGTTCACACTGAATGCAAATGCAAGTAAGAAATTGTTGATCCTTTGTCTCTTCAGTTTTGTTTTGGGCGCAAATCCCGCAACGACATGAGGGACAAAACCAATCACCATCAGGGATGCCCTACACATGCAGAATGAAAGTAGTTAATACGGCATTAAAGCACTGAATCGAAGGAGTTACATCATGGACACAAAAAGGAAAGGAAATGTAGCAACAAGATAGAACTTAATATGCCATAATTGAAAAGGAAAACGGTTAAGAATCTACCTCCAAATTAAGACACTTCTTATGAAACGACAAGGGGCATTGGTCGCATATAATAAGTTCACCGCAGTAGTTACAAACAGAATAAATGTTGTCATTTTTGCCTTCAAACAAATTATTGCATGGTTTCTCTTTGGCTTCCTTTGACCTGTGATCATGCATTACTTCCCTCATGCAATCTAACAGTGACCTACCATCCTTCAAAAAGATACACGCCGAAGGCCTGCAGTTACTTATGCATGACTCCAAATACATTCTGACAACATGAACACTTAATTCCTTCTAGAGTAATCCTTCCCTCAAACGCAGGTGAGTTTCAGCCTTCTGTTTCCCAGTAATAGACCTTGTATCTTGGCAACACAATGTTGCAACAACCTATTAACCAAGACACAATATTTTGAGGCTTTTAATGTGACAAACAGAAAACCTTGTGCACCCTTTTGCTTGAACTTAGCACCCGGATAATTTCTCCCTTGTCTTGATCCTTTTGTGCATTAGCCTTTGAAGTACTTGCGCCTTTACGGTTAGGTACTTCCTTCTCTAGATTCTTTTGTGCACTACTCTTTGAAGTCCTTGTGCCTTTACGGTTTCTCCTTGCAGTTTGTGATGAATCATATATAGTTTGTAATTCAGGCTCTTCTTGAAGCAATTGGAACACACTCAGCAATAGAGCATCACCATCAACATGATCTGAATCAGTCCTTTCAGGAATTTGTTTCTTCAAGGTATAGCCTGCATGCACCTTGGAGTGTGCATAAACAACGATTTTTGTGGAGACTTGTACAAAGTTGCCCTCCTTCTTTCAGTTGGGTAGTGAAAGATCCATCCTTCTGCTGACAGATGTTTTTTCGCCTTCAATTTCCACTCTCTCTTCTCAGATATGAAAGATTTCTGTAAAACTGGGACATCACGGAGTTCATTTCGGGATCCTCTTGCAAAACTTTAGTAACTTGAGAACTCGAAGTATGTTGAGGACAACTGTTTTTTGGTCCACACAATTGTCCAACAAAGAAATGCAAGATGTTCGAAGTATGTTGAAGATCCATTATCTCTAAAGCTAGAAGAAGAATCAACAACACCATCCAAAAAATCCTAAAAAAACACCACATTGCAAAACCCAATACAAAATCAATAACCTATAAATCCATTAAAAAAAACCAAAAGAAACAACAAATTGAGCAACGTTAATCGATCGAAAACCCAAATCTTGTATTGTTTTTTATCACTTCAACATATTAATAACATTGTAACAAAGAAAAAACAATAAAAAATATTTGGTAATTCTCTTTTTATTCCTATTGGTCCACAAACCATGCATTTTGAAGGTATTGTTTAATTATCGTTTCCTCATGCTGTTTAATTATCGTGGTAGTTTCCTCATGCTGTTTAATTATCGTGGTAGTTTCCTCATGCTATTTTTGTTTCCTTTAACAACTTATTTGAAAAATATGAGTTTTAATAAAGTGTGGTCCAGTGTGCGCGAGGGTGCATCATGTGAGAGCGCACCGTTTTACTGTGTGGAGGGCACCTTACTATAAACTTTGACTTACAGATGAGATTTTTTTTTTATAAACTAAAATATGTTGGAAAAAAAATTAAAGGTGGGGAGACTAGGCCAAAACCCACAAAGATCTACATGATCATAAAAATGTTAATCTAACCTATTTTTTACATAGTCATTTATAATGTTACGAGGTAACACTTCAAAAAAAGAGAAAGACATAGATATGCGATTTATGTCAGCAAAAAAATATGCATAGTTGTTTCTTTCTCGATATAAGTGAGAAATGATAAAATCTAAGTTAGATATAATATTAACGCAATATTTCCATCTGATTCTTAATTGTCAAGGAACTGACATCATGTCCAGACTATTGAAGTCGCTCACAATAATGCTCGAGTCAGTTTCAACCCATGACTTCTTCCAACCTTTATCAGTTGAGACCAAAAAAACTCCGCAAGAATCAGTTGAGACCAACTAAGGACTTCGACAAAAGCTAAAATAAACTTTTTGTGGTGGTCCCGGAAGATGTCACCGCAACCCGTATTATTCAAAGATGAATAAAAAGCCCCATCAGTATTACATTTTATCCAATCTACATATGGAGGATTCCAAATAACCTCGCTGCACATAGAATGAGAAGGGGGTTGATTCTCACATCAAACCTCTTTAGCAGTAAAAATTCCTCCCAAGAGTGCTTGTAGGGAATTTCAGATCTCAAACAAGAAAGTTGAATATGGACTAATAAACTAGTACAAGCATAACTGGATTGGGGTTTCCTATCATTGAATCTGGCGTTGTTTCAGACATTCTAAATAATGTTGATCGGGAAAATAGAAGTTGCCTTGTTTGTTATTTCTTTAAGATTTAAATTGTGGGTTGTTTTGGTTTTAATGCAATTTTTTTAAACTTAATTTTAATCTGTCTCTAGAAAATGGGGCAGTGAAAATGTCGGGTAAAATTGAAAGTCGTCTGGCACAAAATAATAAAATTAATTTATTTTTGGTTAGTAAATACCGTGAAAGCACTTTATTAATTAATTAAGAAAGTCTAATATTCTTAGTAAGTGATATTAAAACTATTTACGAACGCGCACGTTTATAGGTTTAGGATTTGGTTGCCTAAGCAAGAGCTTAAAACCATTTTAAGTTAAAATTTCCAACTGTAATTACTTTTCGACTAAGTAAAGTATTTATTTTCTTAAAAAAAGATATACTACTTTAACGCATAAAGTGTTTATCTGAACTGCTGATCAAAATCTGAGATGGCCGAGAGGAGGATGATCTTGTCGGGAAGCTGCTCCTTGGAGAGGAGAAAAGGGGTGTACCTGCAAGGTACTCTAATGCCAAAGTAAGAAAGAGAGCAAGAGGTACAAGAAAATATTAGGGTTTATAGAGTGAAGATTGAATACCTGACCCTCACAAGTGTGAAGGTTTATGTAATACCCCTGACGCATAACCATTGGTTCCTATTTTGGGCCTAGATATCTGGGTCTGCAAATACAGGGAACTGTCAGGACTTGGTCAAATAGAGTATGTTGCCCACAACTAGCCATTTGTTTCAGGGATAAGGTAGGTTACGAGCAGGGATCTGGTCGATTCCTGGTTGTCTGGTCGATTGTATGTCGGGCAGACGAGGAATTGTCCGTCGGATGATGCTGGTCTTGTTGGCTTAGGAGAGTGATTGATCGATGGTGCTCGACGGAGGGAGCGGGATCCCAGGTCATGGTCGAACATGCCGTGTTAAAGGTGGAGCACAAACTAGGCTTGTGGTAGCCGTTGGGTCAGTCCAAAATAGTAGTCCCCCAAGTAGTTTCTCTTGGGCAAAGGAGTGATGACTTGTAGACTGCTAACGAAACAGGGGTTCTCCGAGGAGTACAAGTGATGCTCACCATGTTTGCCTCACAGAGAGAGGAACTGTAATACGGTGAGAACTGACTGTTATACTGGTTTTGCATTTGTATTTGCAAATGTTGCGGTAAGCAAAAGTCGCCACTGAATTTTCTTTTATCCAACAAAGGAAAGGGTGAAAAGAACAGAAAAAGACCTTTCGAGATTATTTCTGAGTAAGGGGGGTAGATTATGGAAAGAGATGGTGTTAGCATCTTTTCCATCCGTAGTTATCTACGGGCTCTTAAATGCTAGCTCATTTGAAAATACCTTGTGTTTGTGTGATTGAAAAAATTATTTTGAAAAGACGCCTTAGTGCGGCGAACGTTGTAATGTTTCTCGTATTGTGGAGAATGTATACAAAGTGTTTTTGATTTTTTTTTGAAAGGAGTGTAGGTGTGAATTTTGTTTTGTTTTGAGCAAGCATCTAAGAGCTATCTACCTACTCGAAAAGGTTTGTTCTTTTCCTCTTTTTCTTTAGACAGTGCTATCCTACTATTAGTGAGTAGGTAGCTCCATCGTTGGATGTTTTGAAGGACAATCGAGGGTCATCGTACGGTCACAAAGGCAACTAGTAAGATATCTTAGTAATTACCCTAAGGTTTTAAGATCATTTTACCGAGGCAACATCGAAAGGGTCATCGAGGGACTTATGATTTTTTAAACCAAAGGGTAGCCACTAAAATCTCTTAGATTCGAGAATCGTGACCATTTATTTATCCGAAGGCAACAAGTGGAAGTACCTTAGAGGTGCGTGTGTGCGAGTGTGTTGTGTTTCAGTTATTTATCTTTAAACATTTAGCTTTTCTACCGTTTGTTTTCAGATCTTATCATGCAATCCTATTAAGCATTCATCTAACATTTAATATATGCACATGAATTTAAAGTGCGAAATTTAAAACCTAACTATTACATGGCTTCGGGGAGGGGGAATTTACAAATCCAAAATGGGGAAACAAAAAGTAAAAAGTCCTAAATTTAACTATTACAACCTTTTTGAAGATACATCAATATAAAATGAACTAAAATTAAAATGGGCGCGCGAATATGGAAAGCGAGGTAAGCCCTAAAATACTTCTACATACTTGCACTTTTTTTGTCATTTTTATTTAGAAAAATACTTAAATTAAAAAAAAAATTAATTTTAACTAAATAAAGAAAACAGTGATAAATAAGA